AACGATACTGATCAAAATAATACTAATACGAATACGATGCTATTTTTTGGTGATATTACGAATTAGTCTTAGTACTACTTACTGTCTGCATTCGTATTATTTTATTGGTTATCACTATTATTTCGCATATGAATAATATTAATGCAACATTAGGTTTATTATTGTCTTGTTGCATTTTATTAAGCAGCGTCATTTGTGATTATTAATATATATAAAAAATTACAAAATGTTAGTGCTGTTATTATTCCTATTGATATAAAAAAAAAAAAAAAAAAAAAAAAAAAAAAAAAAAAAAAAAAAATGTTATTAACACGATTATCAGTAGTAATAGCATTAGTAGTTGTATTAGTACTAGTACCAGTAATAGTAATATTGTATTAGCACTACTAGTAGTATGTGGTTTACTGTTATTCGTAGTATCATTATTATTATTGGTAGTAATACTATTAGTAACCGTATTGTTGTTGTTAGTAGTAGTAGTAGTAGTAGTAGTAGTAGTAGTAGTAGTAGTAGTAGTAGTAGTATTGTTAGTAGTAGTAGTAGTAGTAGTAGTAGTAGTAGTAGTAGTAGTAGTAGTAGTAGTAGTGTTAATACCAGTAGTATTATTAGTATGATTGTTCTTCATATTGGTATTAGTACTACTACTAGTATTACGAGTAGTATTAGTATTACTAGTATTATCATGATTAGTATTACTATTACTGGTGTTCGCAGTAGTCTTACTATTGTATGTTTCGCCTTATTATTCTTATTATTGTTCGTCTTCTTGGCGTTCTTATTATTAGTAGTCCTACTCTTCTTCGTATCCGTATTATAAGTATTACCCGTATGGTTATTATTATTCGTTTTCGTTTTTTTTCTTGATCATTTTAATATCAGTATTACTATTCTTTCCATCCGTCCAATTATTATCATGATTGTTATTCTTCGTAATATCATTCGTACTCGTCTTCTTCTTGTGCTTAGTATTTTTCCACCTCCCCCTCCTCCTCCTCCCCCTCCTCCTCCGCATCCCTCCTCCTCCTCCGCATCCCTCCTCCTCCTCCTCCTCCTCCTCCTCTTCCTCCTCCTCCGCCTCCTCCTCCTCCTCCTCCTCTTTCCTCCCCCACTAATCCCTCGGTCCCCCTGCTTCTCGTTTTCGTTTCCCCTCTTTCTCTTTCTTTGTTTTCTCTCTCTCTCTCTCTCTTTCTCTGAGACGTGGGCTGAAGGGCCTCGCTGCGACCCCCGCTCATCTCAGAGCGGCGGGGGTGACTACGCAATGTACACGTGTACCTTCCCCCCTTTCCTCCCTCCATTGATTTGTCCGCCCGTTTGCACCTTCATCCGTCCTTTTCATCCACCTACTCCTCTTCCTCCTCCGCCTCCTCCCTCCTCCTCACTCCTCCGCCTCCTCCTCCTCTCCTCCCTGCTCCTCTCCTCCCTCCCCTCCTCCTCCTCCTCCTCCTCCTCCTCCTCCTCCTCGTCTCCCCCTCCTCCTCCTCCGCCTCTCCTCCTCCTCCTCCTCCTCCTCCTCCTCTCCTCCCCACCTCCTCTCCTCCTCCTCCCTCCTCTCCTCCTCCTCTCCTCCTCCTCCTCCTCCTCCTCCTCCTTCCTCTCCTTTTCTATTCCTCTCCTCCTCTTCATCCTCCTCCTCCTCCTCCTCCTCCTCTCCTCCTCCTCCTCCTCCTCCTCCTTCTCCTCTGCCTCCTCCTCCCCCTCCCCTCCCCCTCCCCTCCCCCTCCCCCTCGCCCTCCCCCCCCCCCCTCCCCCTCCCCCTGCCCTGCCCTCCCCCTCCCCTCCCCCTCTCCCCCTCCCCCCCCCCATCCCCCTCCCCCTCCCCCTACCCCCTCCCCGCGACCGGTTGTTACTGTGGCCCGTTGGGTGTTAGTGTGGCCCGTTGGGTGTTAGTGTGGCCCGTCGCGCGGCGGGATGGGAGTTACTGTGGCCCGCGCAGGCCGCTCAATGAAAAGTAATATGTAAAGGTATCTCATGTTAGATCTGGAGAGATTCGAAACCCCTAAGGGAATGCACTCCCGCGCAGGCAAAAGTGGCCACAGTAACTCCCACCTGGAACCAACGTGGTGGTAGTGCTGTGATAGTGGTGTGGTGGTCGCTGTGCTGTGTTAGTGGTGTGGTGTTGGTAATGTTGTGTTAGTGGTGTGGTGTTGGTAGTGGCTGGTTGTGCTGTATGCTGTGTTAGTGGTGTGGTGTTGGTAGTGGTGTGCTGTGTTAGTGGTGTGGGGTTGGTAGTGTTGTGTTAGTGGTGTGGTGTTGGTAGTGTTGTTGAGTTGTTAGTAGGTAGTAGTGTTGTGGTAGTGGCAGTGGTGCTGTGGTAGTGGTGTTGTGGTAGCGGTGTTGTGGTGTTGTGGTTGTGGTATCGTGGTAGCGGTGTAGTGGTGTTGTGGTAGCGGTGTTGTGGTGTTGTGGTACTGGTATTGTGGTAGTAGTGCTGTAGTGTGGTAGTGCAATGGTGCTGTAGTGTTGGTGTTAAGTAATATCGTTCATAAGGAGTACTAGTCCTACGGAGTACTAGCCGCAGGGAGTGCTAGCCCCAGGGAGTACCAGTCCTAGGAATTACTACCCCCAGGGCGTACTCGTCCAAGGGAGCACTCGTCCTAGAGAGTACTCGCACTACGGAG